CAGAATCCCCTTCCCCTCCCCCATTTCTGAAGAAGGGTCCAGACCCGAAACGTCAGCTTTCCTGCTCCTCTGATGCTGCCTGGCCTGCTGTGTTCACCCAGCTCTACACCTTGTTATCTCAGATTCTCCAGCATCGGTAGTTCCTACTATCTCAAAGTTTCACTGTTAATAAAATAAGGGAGACTACTTTGGAAGGCACTGAAGCACCTGAATCTGTGATGAATGGGTCCCGATCTGAAACGTCAACTTTCCTGCTCCTCTGATGCTGCCTGGCCTGCTGTGTTCCTCCAGCTCCACGCTGTGTTATCTCTGACTCCAGCATCGGCAATTCTTACTATCTCTGAATGCCATCTTCCTCACTTTAAACTACTGCCATTCTGGTCGCAAGATTCACAATTTAACATTTGAATCACTGCCAGGGTATACATTTTTTTTAAAAAAAACACTCATTTACTTCTCTGGGACAAATTGGTTTCATGATCACCTTCTGCAAATCATGAAAACACTTAATTTTAGAGAGGTTTGTTGCAGCACCTTCTAGAAATATAATATATTGCTGTTGCCAATTTAGGAATGGTAAATCAAACAGGGCTCCTATGATGCTGCTTGGCCTGCTGTGTTCATCCAGCTCTGCATCTTGTTGTCTAGGGTTAAAGGAAAGTTCACAACAAACCATGCCCATAAAGGATAACTGTCCAATTTATATTTGAATCTGCCTACAATATTCAGTTTCATTACTACATAATACAATAAATTATATTACGTTATATATCTGGAGTGCTAAATTTTCACCTTCTAAGCTTAACCAGTGACTTCTCATGTGAACCATCTGTCTGTGTATAGCCTATCCTGATTTTCATTGCATTGATTGCAGCCAATTATGTACCTGCTCCACCAGAATACCAACCAGACATCGAGAGCTAATGTTACCCAAAACCCCTCATATTGTTTGATCTAAAGAAAAATACATTCTAAAAACCATGCACGTGTATAAATTTACTGGCCATAAACCTCCGTTGCTGTTGTTATTATTTTGTCACACTTTCATGTCAACATTTAGCACTAAAATTCCTTTAGAATCATTTTTGACTTTTGCTGTTCAAAATGTCAGTATTTCAAATTAATGAACTAACCCATCTAACAGTATAGAATCATAGAAACTTACAGGACAGAAACTGTGCCTTATGAATGAATTCTGGGGCTATTCTAAAAGAACACTTTGCATCTTCTTCACCAAAGTTTTGACATCCTCCCTAAAGTGTGGTTTGCAGAATTTGTAATAGTGCTCTGGCTGACAGCTAATAGCACTCTGTAAATATTTAACATAGCTCCCCTGCTTTTGCAATCCATGCCCTTATTTATTAAGTCAATGATTTTTGGATGTATGTTTTTAACAACTTAACTAAACTCTTGTCATCTTCAAAGATTAATAGGTGTGAATATCCATGTCTCTTAGTTCCCATGTAATTTTAATATTGAATAAATCCTTTCTATAAAAATCCAGTGAATCTATGACTAATTTAATTTGCATTGTCTCTCTTCATTTGCTTTCCAAAATGCCTCACTTCACACATTTCTGCATTCAATTTTACCTTGTCATTTAATTAATTTATGTCAGTTATTAAAGTTTTGTGTTACTCATAAATTTTGGAATGATGTCCCCCCCACCCAAGTGGATATCATTAATATATCAGAAAAAAACCTTGTTGTTTGATTGAGCTCTTGTATGGATTTGTCAGATCTTGATACAAGCTCATGTCAGACATTTAATGTATTTTTCCTTTGTGGTGAGGATATGGAGTGGGAGCATGAGCTGCACAGGGCTTAATGTCTTACTAGAACAAATTTGATTTGATATGATTTATTATTGTCACGTACCTAGGTACAGTGAAAAGTTTTGTTTTGTGTGTAGTACTGGCAGATCATGCCATATAAAGTGCATTCGGGTAGTAGACAGAGCTAAGAATACAAAGTTACGGCTGCAGAGAAGGTGCACAAAAACCAAGAGCAACATTAAATTTAAAATTGAGAGCTCCATTCAGAAGTCTAATAACTGTGGGGAAGCAGCCGTTCTTGACCATTGAGGTTATAGGGACACTACAGTTTACATCAGATTTATTTATATATATCATCGAATGCCATCACTACAATCATTGCAACACTGACCCCTGGGGACACTACTCTTCTGTCTGAAAACAAGTGTTTACCACTACACTCTGCTTTTTGTCTCTTCGCCAATTTTGTATCCACATAACTACTCCTCCTTTAATCTCATGGGTTCTAATCTCCCTAACCAGTTTATGATGTAGCATTTTGTAAATTTTAAAAAAGTCCAGATGCACATCAACTGCAGTATCCTCATCAATTTTTTTCTGTCATTCCAACGAGCAAAAATCAAAACTTCTTTTTAAGAAATACTTCCCAAACAAACACAAATGTATTGTGTGCAATGCATGGTTTAAACCAAACCAAAATACAATGACATTTTTTTAAAACTGCAATTTGATTATTTTTTACATATTAAATTGTTGTTTAATGCCTTCACTAAAGTGTTCATGTCAAGGTACAAGTTTCTCTCAAAGGCCTGACACTTCATTGGATACATTTCCTCAATAGTTGAGAAAGCTGTACATAGTGAGCATCCAGCTTGAAGAATTTGTCCAGAATGCAAGTTTACCATGAACCAAAGTTGAAGCATGGTTTCATTACGTTTTCATGTGATTTTGGCTCAGTGTAGGTCTGTTCGTAGCACTCTCTTCTCTAAATCAGTAGGCTGTAAATTCAATCCTATTCTGGACATCCTGGACATCCATATGGATAACATCCATAGACACTCCTCTCCTCACTACTTCAGCTGCATCTTCAAAAAAACTTCTATCAAATTATCTAGCATTAACGATTGTATAAGTCAGCAAACTCACTAACAGTACATCAAACATTCTGCCTCTGTATTTCTGGCATACACCAGGAGTGCACATGAAGAAATATTTGGCCCAAGTTCCTGATTTTCCACTGATTGCTTTTAAACAGCATGCGACTGAAGGCAGGAACAGAGACAGGAACTGACTGACAATGAAGGAATGTGATGTCAAAAGAGGTGGAAATAGTGGAAAGTACAAAAAGAGATGAATACCGTACTGAAAAGTAGGCTGATGGGCAAATCACAATGTGATTAGTTTTCACTGCAGCAACTGGGGGGTAATGCCCCCAAATGCAGTTATATGGCCTCACTGTCCATTATCAGTAGCAATGTGGCTGGTTCCAGTTTAAAAGGGGCCTCTTAGCAGGCGTCTAAAACATCCATTTGTTTCAGGTGATGGATCACTATTAATATGATATAAGTGTTACTATGATGTAATTAGGATGCCAATTAGAAGTTTAAGGGTCAGAGCTGGAACTTGTAATGTATTCCAGCATTGATAATTTAGTTTGTCTACCATATAAAAAGGCTATAAAACATCCAATTTACTGGAAACTATGTCATAGGAAATCTGTTTTGTTTATTGTTTTTAGAAATTATTAGGATACACTTTCTATTGCAAACACAGAAATCACAAGCAAAACTTAACAGGCTTTGCAGCCTCTGTGGGAAGAAAGCAGAGTTAATGATTTGAGTCCAATGACTCTTCATGAAGAGCAATGCAGCCCTGCAGCAGGTAATGTATATATTTAAACATACATTAAATGGACACAAACATTTTTAAACCCCAGGATCAATGTAAACTAAATACTCTGAAAATATTACTTCATTAACCGTTACTCTAAGCCCAAAACCAGACACTGAACAGACAAGGGTTGGGCACCAGGAGTGATCTCAAGACTTATTTTGTGATCTTCACTTTTTTGTTGCTGAAAAATTCATTTAAAATCTTCATAGCTAACACCTCCACTTAAAGACCTATAAGAATGGGGAACAATAATTCATTTTAAAATACACATTTGTGCAAGGAATTTCAACTCCCAAACATGTATAGCTTGGTGCCAAGAGAGGTAGACTTTGAAGAAATCTCAAACAGGAATGAACCTGCCTCAAATCCACAGATTCTAGTATTAACAAAGATTGGGCTAACAGCATTCAGCCAATCTGTTCTCAGAAGGCTGGTATATTACTTAAGTGCTGTAATGTGGTTGTGCACCTTCATTCTTATTTGTAACTTATGTCAACAGAGGTTTCCAAGCCTCAGGAAATCTGACAGATGAAAGGAAGTGAGAACAGTTGAAATTAAGAAGTAAGTACCTTTAAAGCACTGTTTGAGATCCAAGAGAAACGTCTGTGCTCTCCCCGGACCAACAATCCACCCAATAAATTTCCCTACTTTATCCATGATCTGCATTTCTTCTCCCGCTATTGATTCCACACCCCTGCTCTTATAGCTCCTCCACAATGGGATACCCCCATTTTCCTTCACTGCATCACACTAGACCCACCTGCCCTATGTCCACCATGGCTCCAGCTTAATACTGTAGCAGTCCCACATGACAGACCTCCAACCTATCAATGAAACTGGCAGTAGGCAGGAAAGTGATGGAATATGATTTAACAATAGCGTACAACTAGAAACATTCTTCTGTGTTTTCCAACCTCACAACAGATCCCACCCAAAACTTACAATGAATGGGAGTTGATTCTCCTACCATATAGCTAGACATGAATACAACTATGTTTCATTAAATTGTATCATTAGGCTGGTGATATTCTGTAATTTCACAAACATGGTACAAGAATGTCAGTGACAATCCAATGATATAGTCAACAAATTCAGTGAAACCAAGAATTTTTTTTTTTTTTTGCCTTTTGTTGTTTTTCTAAAACTTCACTGCCTTCCTGTCCCAACAGCTTGTTTCTTGAAAACAACAGAATGTACAGCATGCATGTGAATCTCACTTTGTATTGACATTCTCGCTGCCAGATGTCGGGCTCAACGTCAACTGGTGCACTGGTGATCATAAATGTCACTAAAGTAGAAACATTGTAGAGTGAGAAAGAGGAAGACTGTTCAAGAGATGGAAAGGTATAAGAGAGATGAGTTGGCCTTGAGAGATACAAATGTGACAATTTTCTCCTGCTCATCCATGGTTTCATTCCTAACAAGGAGCTGAAGAAATTTTAAATCAAAGGACAACATTAAATGAATAAATTGCCTGCTTTTGATGTGTAGCAATGTTACTCTGCTGCCTTTTGCACTTTCTCAACACATGGTTCCATTTTATAACAATTGCAAATTTCCACATGAAGATAAATGTAAATTTATTCACTGCACAAATGTTCGGTTGGTAAAAATAACAAATGAGCAGTAATAGCAGCACACTTTGGAAAGACTATTATTAACCTTCAAAACTTGTCTGCAACATGTATTTCTGCACAGGTCAAACCATTATCTTCATATGAACACATATGCACCCAGAAAAACCAACACAAGCAGTTCCACAAGATCAAGATAGACACAGGCACATATAGAGGATTACTTGGAATGATACACAGTCAGAGAAACTGACTGGATAAACAGATACACATATAGAGTAACAGAGACCGTACTTTCAAAGATTCAGTCACATGATTAGAGACACAGACAGAAAAATAGACACGTTTTAAAAGCAGAAGTCAGACACAGACTTACTATTCATTTGCAGATTGCCTCTTTTTATTCAGGGTCCTTTCATTGTTAAATGTTTTCAAACTTCTAAAAAATTGATTTGAAAAGAATTTGCTGGAGAAGGATTTGTTCAGTCACCCTTTATTATCCAATTGTTCCTCCTCTTCAAAAGTCAGTAATGATATTGTGCAGATAATTTCTTGGATTTGTTGACTTTATGGCCACAGCTCCAGTAATATGGAGTGTAAATATATTAATGAGGAACTCATGAAATTGATTAGAAACTTACAGATGATACTTGCAAGAAATGGGCTTCAAGATATGCAACGTATTAATGATAGTTAGACGGCTAAAATCTCTCACATTATCAGCAATGTGGATTTTAGTTTGTGCTTAACAAACCACATGCTTGTAGTAAATGGATATGTCCAATTGATGTCCTTTCACAGATTATTAGCTAACCCCTCCACGGCATTGCTCACAATTAATCTTGTGTTAGGAGCATGGTGGTTATATGGTTGTTAATCTGACCTTTCCCTTTAAGGTCTTTGCCATAAATTATATAATTCAGGTCATTCTAGCTGATTAGAAACAGCTGATGTGCATCAGGATACAGTTGTAACTACTTGTAAATGTCAGGTGGCAAGTCCAGTTGTATTTGTAACTAATATGATACTTGGTAAGTCAAACCTGTACATCAGATATACATCAGATCTCCTGTATAATGTGTCAACGTTGAGGAGTGGACTGGGGCAAGTGCTGTGCATATGGTCTGTGAGGAGTGGACCAAGCAGAGAGGAGTGTTAGAAACTGTGGATCAGGATTTGAGAGTAGGGAAGGGGAATATAATTCCTGAGGTTGCAGAGGATCAATGCCAGCATAAATACAATGACAAGTACTGGCTAGAAGAGGTTATTGATACTGCAGGACAATTACAAAGGAAGATACTTAAAAAGCTAAATGATAATATGCAACCAATGTGCAAAGCGATCAATGGAGTGAATGCCAAACTGTGTAACTAAAGCAAGAGTGTAGATCAGAGGGTTGTCTTAACTTGCAATAATTTGGTTTGAGTGAGGCCAAGTATAGGGCCTGACTTGGTCATCACCTCACTAGGAAGAAATATCAGCAGTTATGAGTTTCTGGAAGAAGTGACTGAAGGATGAACATGATGGAAGTATAGAAGACAGCAATACAGATGACCACATACTAAATTCTTAAAATTTGTAGAAGTGCATTATATAACATTCAAATCTGATATTACATAAAGTGCAATAAAGTTCAGTTTCTTTCAAAACAGAAGGTACTCGAAGATGGCTCACTACACTTACAGTTACATATTATGAAACACTCAACTATTTAATCACTGTTCTTACCACGAAGAAACAGTAGGAAATTCCATCTTATTTTGAGTGAGTTGCTGCTCATTTGACTAGAATTGACTTACTACATTAATCTCTCATTTCCCTTCGCAATTTTAGAGGTGAAAGATTTGTAAATGTTTTGAACATGTATGGACACAGCTGTCACGAATTATTGAAATACTTATGGCAAAGATGGATTAGAAACAGCAGCAACTGAGAAGTCAGTGAGAATTTCAATAACATGCTTTCAGCAGTTTAAAGAGTAACTGAGGAAACTGAAATATTCAGAAATACATTATCTAACCCCGCATGCAAAATCACATGCCCATTACAGAAGATGCTTTAACCTTGCTGTGTTCTGATTGCTTACTATAAAAGGAATATGTACAGTAGTATTGGAACACCTTGCAAGAATATTATACATTTATTTGTGGGAGAGATATTAAGATTTGAAAAAATCTCCTAAACAGGCATAAGGATTACAATGCACAATTAGCCTACACATCTTCTTTGCAATGCAGGCAGGACATCATCTCCATGGAGCCTACACATTTCCATGCTTTTGCCTTGTAACCAACAGTCCCTGCACTTGTCATTGTCTGTACCTTTTAGCGATTGTAACAAGGTCAGCCAGGTGGATGTCATAGAATATGAATTCCCTGATTGGGGTTGTTAACCTAGTCCAATCAGAGAGCCCCGGCTGACAGATAAAAACAGGAGTGTCAGTCATCCTGTCCCTCTGAGAGTTGGCTTTGACGGAGCTGGATCAGTATCAATGACTTTCCATGTGTAAATAAAGTGTGACTCGGTGATGGGATACTGGGATCTGTAGCTGTTACTTCATACCTATCATCAGGAGCCCCAATATAATGAGGGTAAAGCACTATAAAAGTTAGGCCATACCACTTAAAGGGGATTGTGCACTACGGTTGCTGGAGATCCTGAGATCATTCTGAATATTGTACCATGGAAGAATCAAGAGAATGGGAGACAGTTAGCACTGGGCTTTGGATGTCACACTGAAGGCTGTAGTGAAAGGTGTAGGAAGAAGGAGCACTGTCCTTCATCCTTGAGTGATGGGCTGGTGTGATATTCCTTCAGGTATTTACTTAGAAGGCAGTTTCAAATGATAACCTTGGAGATCAATGCCAGAAAAGTAGTCCCAGGATCTGGATGCAGTGTAGAAATATGTTTAATGATCTCACATGAGGTATCAAGGTGAGGGCATCTTTAAACATGTTATCATACCAGCTAGACCACCAGCCTCAATCACCATTGATTTCACTACAGTTTCATCACCCACTATATCAACAATTCCTAGCAATCAGGATTCACACCTAATATTTATCTGCTTTATTTCACTCATACATACTTAGCACCATTGCAACCCTCACACCTGAATCCCAAAGCTTGGGCACACTGGCAGCAATTCAACCATAATAGCCACATCAGCCAATGGTATTGCAGGACATCACAGACACACCTCCCTGTCTTTCGGCAGAAGGCGGCACACAGCAGGAGGCAATAGGAATTAACAGCAGGGGGATAGGAAAATGTATATGTTTTAATTCCTATCGAGGAGGCAGTGTTGGCTTTTATGGGAAGGGACACTGACAATACCCAGAAGGCAAACATAACACAGCAATTAATTAGTAAATAATGAATGGCTCTTTTAAATAAAGCTGATGATGGGTCAGAAGAGATTCCTTCCTGCTATTTTACAGCTGTGTGAATTAAAAACTAGAAATATAGGATCAGGAGTAGCCATTCAGCCCATCCAGTTGCTCCAGCATTCAACGAGAACATGGCTGATCACCTGCCTCCAATGCCACTTTTCCCTGCAATTTTCATATCCCTTGCTGTCTGGAGGGTTGGAGAAATCCCTCATTGGAGAGTGGAGTTCCAGACAAAAGCAGGGCTGTTGACCCTGAATACTGCCAGCGGACAGTCCCTGTGCCTGCTGTGTGGCCATCTTTAGAGCCAGAAAGTGTTTGTGGAGAGCGAATGCAATTTTGCAAGTGCAAACGACTTGGCAGCATTCAGGAAGCAGGCACCCCTAAGTCCAATTTCACCTTCTGCATGCTGTTCTCAATTCCAGATAGGTGCAGTAACTACCTTCTCTCAGCTTTCTCCTCTGCTCAAAGAGTTGACCTATGTTGGAATATCTTGCTGGTATCCATACTTTCTCTGTAAGCTCAAACCTGTGTTATGGCGGGTTATGTAACAAATCATTAACCAGAGGTTTCTACACAATATTCAAACAATTTTCACACTGTTTTGCTCGGTGCGAGTGAGAAATATGAACATTGACCGACTGTGTTTTGCTGCTGCTCAGTCCAGATGACTAATTGTAGGGATTGAACCCCATTCCTTCCGGGTCAGCATGACTCAATGTAGCAAGGCAAGTGACTGGCTCATTCTCACGCAATTCTTTGCAGGGGCTTCTGAAGTCCTCACTGATATGGCTGTTGCAGGAGTCAGTCTATGTCTGAAATAAATACTGGAATAACTGATGGTTGTTGAATTGTAATGCTTTAACTTACACAAATCCATTCGGCTTAAGTCCAAAGAGAGGAATAAAGGATGATTTATGGAAGCAGTCAAGTCTAAGTGTGCAGCAGCTGTAAAAAAAAAATACAATCATCGAGGAAGACTGTTCTTGTGAAAAAGGTCTTTGCAAATATGTTTTGTCTATAAGTGCAACAATTTAATAACAGGAACACCAACAAAGTGCATCATTACTTAATTCTTGCACAGCATCAAATGACTAGATGTAATTCATAAGTATTCTCTACCTTCAAAAGATATCTATTCAGTTAAAAAAATGGGCTTAGTTTGTTGGTTCCTCTCTGCATTATTACCAGAGTTTGAATGTTCTTTCCTTTTGCTCTGTTAGTCAGTGCAATGTCTGACCTGTTTTGTTGTTACTGCTGTGTTTTGAGACTAAGTTTTCTTCATGCCACTTCATCTCTTCCATTATATTCTTAGCTTCTGCTATTCTCCATGTCCACATGTTATAACGTCCTGGTCTTCTTCCTCTGTGCAATACATCTGGCACTCATCATACCAAATTTCATCCATCATTACT